CTTGCTGTGATGCAGCTGCTAAAAAAAAGCGAATTCAATTCTGAGCTACATGAAAAATGCTGGTGCATTGGATCTGGGAGCAGACCCCCAGGTGAGGATGGGGTCCCTCCAGGCACTGGTAGCCACCCTCATCCTGCCCAGGACTACGGAGGCCAGACACCAAGGGTCCCTCCCCAGCCCCATCTCGTTTCCTTCCTGAGGGGACCCTATGAGGGTGGATGACTACTGTCCCCACCTCACAGATGAAAAAAATCAACACTCAGAGGAGTCCTGGCCTGCCCTGGGGTCTAGCCAGGAGGGAAGAGCCTGGACTGGGCCCCTGGCAAAAGCTTCACACGGCAGGGACCTGTCTGCCTATGTAGAGACACGTCCCCACCAGCAGCCCAGGCCTGGGGGTGGGAGAGACACTCGGTGAGCACCTGATGGGAAAACGTGACAGTGGAGAGAGTACTGGATGCCAGCACTGCATCCCTGTCCCTTCCTGGGTGTGTGGTCACTTGAGGTCTTGCAGGAGAATGAACTTTCTCCTGCAAGGAGAAAAGGTCAGGATGTCTGCAATTGTGTCTCTCGTGGTTCAGCAAAATTAACTTGTAGGAAAGAGAGTCATGGGCTCTAAATGAGGGGTGCACATGGTTTGTGCAGTTTTTCTCAAGGACACAGACCTGCTTGCCCCTGTGGCCAAGGGCAGTGAAGGGGCCTGGGGTGGGTGAGGGGGAGGGAGGGCCAGTTCTGTCCTCACTCAGCCCCTGCACCCTATCCCTCTCCCCGACCTTCCCCTCTCCCCACTTCCTCAGCTTTTCCCTCTCTGGCCACAAGATGTCTCCACGTGGCCCTACAAAAGGTGGTTTCCATTCCTTAGTTCTTAAAGTTTCAAGATGTGAATTACCCGTTGCCCTTCCTCTCCAACCCGCTGCTCTTTCTCCCCTCATGGATAAAGGCAGTTTTCTCTGGGATGTGCTTCCTGAGGTCACAGCCCCCTCGGCCCTCCACTCGGGGATTCCCCATTAGGTGGTCTCTGCTGCCCTCTCGTGGCCATTTTCTGTAATGCCAAGCCCACCCTCCCAGAGTGGCAGAAACCTGAAATGGCTTTGCAGCCCCTCAGTGTCCTAGAAGAGCTGGGGGCTCCAGAGAAACAGAATCAATTAATCGGATACATGAAGAGAGGTATTTTAAGGAATTGGCTCATGCAATGTGGGGGCTGGAAAGTCCCAAACCCACAGGGCGGGCTGGAAACTCTGGCAGGAGCTCATGCTGTTGGCTTGAGGCGGAATTTCTTCATCTCCAGGAACCCTCCTCTGTTTTGCTCTTAGGATCTTCCAGTGATTGAGTGAAGCCTCCACCGACCCCATTACTGAGGGGCAGCCTCTTTACTTAAAACCAACTGACTGCAGATGCTACCACATCTCCCAAATGCACACACGTGGGTTCGCGTTGGATGAAATGGTTGGATACCCTGGCCCAGCTGAGTTAACGTGGAAAACTGACCATTGCAGTTGGCTCACTGGAAAGGTTAGGTTTGAAAGTGAAATGTCTCAGATTCTGTTGTCCTCCTGATTCCCAACTCCCACTTTTTTTTTTAATAGAAGTAGAGTTGATTTAAATGTGTCAGTTCCTGGCCTACAGCATAGTGATTTAGTTATACACACACACACACACACAGTTTTTCATTATAGGTTATTTAAATTTGTATCAGATTTGTATCAGAGGCTACAGTTACCAACATTCTGCTGTTCTACCTCCTCCTCCTCCCGCCCCATCTCTCATCCTTGCTGTGCTTGTGAGTTTCATATTCTTTTCTTCAGGTAAAGTGGAGGCACACTGAACTGCACAAATCTTACAATTAGCAAAGTGGATTGTACTTAATCTTCAGTTAGTACAGTTTTATACGTGCTGTTATATTTCCTCCTTTTTGTGTTCTCTTTGGTTTTTTTTCTAATAATGAGCAGTTTTTATCATAAGGGGACAAAACCAATAAGGTGATGATAAAAATGTTTAAGATGTTCCTGTGGGTGAGTGCCATCCCCTCCATCAGTCACAAGGCCTCGGGACCCCCCCAGATTCACTCTGTGCTTCTTCACAAACCTGCCCCGCATAGCCAGCTCTCCGAGGAGCCTGGAGAGGCCAGGCCACCTTCTTGTGGGAGAAGGAGACTCAGCGATAGATCCACCAGCACATCTGGGCCCGGGGCTGAGTCCCGGGAGAGCAGCCCGAAATCCAGTCCTTGCACCTCCTGGCGAACCCCAACACTGCCAAGTTCACAAGCACCTCCACCTCCATGCAGAAAGTGGGAGCCTCTGGGACCCCACCTGGGGTAGCCTCCTAACCCGCTTGGGGGCTGGCCCTGAGAGAGGCTGCCCAGGCAACCAGCCAAGGCTCCTCCCAGGGTGACTGTGGGTGGCCACGTTGCCTGGCAACCAGGTGGCAGCGTCTCTGGAGCCAGGACCACAGAGCTGCGCCCAGCCCTGTGCGGCTTCTCCCAGGCTTTTGGGAAGGACCCCTGGGGCTCTGTCCTTATTCCCTAAGACCAGGACAGCTGCCAGCTCTGGTCACAATGAACATTGTTCTCTTCAGGTGAGTGGCCCTACGCTGATCCCGGCTGGGAGGGAGGGGGCGGCCAGGTATTTAGGGCCGGATGCACCAAGACAGGTGGGGCAGCCTGGACTGCTGGGGGGGGGGTGGTAAGGGTGCTCTCTCACTTACACCAAGCCCACCTCAAGGTCTAGGGAGGACAGGGCCCGGGACCATGGAGGCTTCCAGAATCTGGCCTCTGACTGCTTCTTCAGCATTATTGCCCACAGCTCAGGGGTATCCAACTTTCCTTGCTCACCTCTACCTGGGAAACCCCTCTTCATGCCTCAAAGCCACATCAGGCACCACCCTTCTATGGAATCGTCCCTGACTCCACTGCCTGCAGCCTGGTTCCACCTCTCATCTCATTGGCTTTTTACCTGGCTGTTTCCGTGCCTGGTTCTTCTGGGAGGCTGCAATGCCAAGGGCACCTCTGAGCCACCCAATGTGCTTGTTTAGAAATGCAGCCCCCTGGGCCTCACTCATAGGGAGTATGGCTCGCAAGTCTGGGGGCGGGTGTACTGGGAATCTGCAGGTCTAACTTGTGCCCCAGGGTGGTTCTGATTGAGGGGCCCCAGGACCCCACCTGGAGGGACAGAGACTGCGGCTGGCTATGTGGCCTGGATAAATACGCTTTACCTCTCTGGCCTCCGTTTACTGTGCTTGCAGGGTAACGCCTGCCGCGTGCATTGCAAACCATGAAGGGCAGTTAGGGTTTGTCAGGGGGAGGACAAGGGCCCTCCTGCCAGCTTCCAGCTTTAGAGGTACGGTTAGAGGGCAGGGGATGCACCCTGGTCAAATGGAGACCAGCAGGGGCAGTGACCACCTGGAAGGAGGTGCAGCGGGTGGGAGGGAAGTGAGGGCCTGAGGCTGCGCTCCCTTTGCTGTCTCGGGAAGATGAAATCCAACAGGCCCTACGCTCACTCTGTCTTATTTCATGGAACACCTCCGATGGGCAGGCACTGGGTTGGCAGCACATAAAGATGTGTCAGCCAGCTCCAGCCCACCTTACCCCAAGAAACGCAGAGGGGAGAGAAACCAAGCTCGGCAGGAAGTGATAAGCTTCGAGCCAGGGGGACAAGCTAAAGGTTCAGGGCTGGGGGAGGGAAGAGGGACGAACAGGTGGAGCACAGGGTCTTTGGGGCCATGAGACTTCTCTCTATGACACTGTGACGATGGAGACAGGGCCTCAAGCACTTGTCAAACCCATGGAACGTACAACACGGAGATGGAACCCTCATGTCAAGGAGGGGCTTTAGTTAGTAAGAACGTATCACTATTGGCTTCTCTTTTGTAACAAAGGCACTGCCCCTGAGGGCAGCTCTTAATAACAGGGGAACCACAGGTGCTGGGGAGAGGATATCTGGGGACTCTCTGTCTTTTCCACTCAGTTTTTCTGTAAACCTAAAACTGGTTCCCCCGCCCCCTCCCAAATTTTTAATTAAAAAAAATAGCTTTACGGTTTAGAGAAAGGAGAGAATTTCAACAGCTGGGGGTAAAGACAGAATCGGGGGGTTTCAGACTGAAGACACAGCGGGCCGCCAGGATGGCTGCAATCTGGACCAACTCCGTGGGGACGATAAAGCCCCTCTAAAGGGTCCCAGGGTGGAAGAGGTTGGATGAGGAGTCAAACCCACGTTTGCATTCCTGTCTGGCCACTGACCAGCCCTGTGACCCTGCCAGTCTCCCGCATCTGACCCAAGAACTGAGCGTTAACCCGGGGAAGAGACACCTGGCCTGGGGCTTGCCACTCAGGAGGGGGGCGATAGGTGGGTGACCCCTGCGTCATTGTCCTGATCTGGCTGGGCGTCACTGCCCAGAATGGGCCCTCAGGCCCCCGACTCCCCAGGGACTGCCAGGTGAGGGTGATGGAGGACACGGTGACCAACACCGAGAAGTACTTCGGCCAGTTCTGCTTGCTGCTGGCTGCCTACACCCGCAAGACGGCCCGTCTGCGAGACAAGGCTGACAAGCTGGTCAAACAGCTCATCGACTTTGCCAACACTGAGAACCTGGAGATGCGGACCACCCTGAGGAACTTCGCAGAGGACCTGGCCAAAGTACAGGATTACCGGCAGGCTGAGGTGAGCGGGTTGCCCCAGAGGAGATGGACCCCATCGCCTGACTGGGTCTGAGGGATGGAGCCGACTGGTGGGGACCACAGTCAGTGGACGTGTCTCCTGCAAAGGTGTCCCTGAGGGAGGACACTCACACCACTCCCTTCCCAGGGCCACACCTCGGTTTATAGGACTGAGAGCCTGAAGGCTTGGCAGGGGGAAAGGGGGCTGCAGGGAGTTAGGGAAACAATGAAAAATAAAAACCTCCAGCCAGCCCAGAAAAATCCTCTCTGTGATGGCAGAAAAGAATGAAACACCTTTTCTACTGAATAAGCATTAAACCACAAGGTAGTGCAAGTCACAGGGATCAGACAAGTGACGGCAAAGGCAGAAACCATGCTCCACTGACAGCCACGCAGGAGGAAGCGATTGCGGGCACGTTCTGGAGCCGGGAGGTAACTGTCCTCCGGGACGGGGCCTCCCCGAGGACTGGGAAGGGGACAGCACCCTCTGTCACACAGGGCTTCCTAATTCCACCTGGCGACTGGGTGGCCACCAGTGCTGGCTGTCTTTATCCAAAGAAAATGAACGCTCCTTGTCTCCCTCAACAAGCAGGCAGGCAGGTGAGGAGCCCGGCGCCAGGCAGACCCCCAGGAGATGCTCTTATCCTTGACGTTTGCAGAGATGACTGATCTTTCCTGGTGTAAAAACCAGGCAGAGGCTTTTCCGTCTTTGTCAAAAGGTTGACATCCATCTCAAAGGGACAGAGGAAGGATTTACAATTTTAAGTTTTCTAAAGGAAACGCTGCCAGCAAAGGGAGGGGCAAGTCCCCCTCCCTTTCTGTACCTGGGAAAGCTATTATTCTCATGAGTTTTAGATCTGCACTTACAAGCACCATAAGGGCTGATGAAGGAGGAGGCTGGGACTGCGTGGGGGCTTTGGCCCCCCGACCCATCTGGCAGGCCAGACCGTCCTCCAGCATCAGCCTTACCTGGGAACTTGTTAGGAATGCAGGTTCCTTGGACCTGCTGAGTCAGAACCTCTGGGGTGGGGCCTGGCGATGGGGGATTGAAGGAACACTTGGGGCACCCCTACACCTGCTCTAGTGTGACCCCCACAGGGTAAGTGTGTGATCCACACCAGCTGTCATTGTGACCGTTGTTACTATCACTGACATGCTTATTCGAGTGTCTAGCCTTAGGCTGGGCATTTGGGCACTGGTGCAGGGGCCTGAGGCATTGCCTTGGCCGACCCTGCCGTATCCCTGGGGCCGCCCAGAGCAGTCACCTCTGAATTCTGTGTTAGTCCACGTTCCAGGCGGGTGTGTCACCCTCCCCTGGAAGGCCTTAAGGCAGTTTCGAGAACTGAAGTGGTGCTGGGTCCCCTTGAGCTGCCATGAACGCTGGGCACAGTCATACCCATTTTACAGGCAAGGAAACAGGGCTCAGTGATATGAAATGTGTCGCCCCAGCCCTTGAGAGGCAGCACCCTGAGCCCAGGTTGGTGCTGTCAACCCTAAGGTAGGGGAAGGGTAACCGGTCCTGGCCTTGTCCCCCATGGGCCCATGGTGCAGCTCCGGGTATGCAGATGGCACACTATAAATGCAGGTCAGAGGCCGCGAAGTCTCCCAGCACCTCCATGGCTCTGCCCATTCTGACTCTCTGTGTGTCCACGGTCCCCCAGGTGGAGAGGCTGGAGTTCAAGGTCGTCAACCCCCTGAAACTCTATGGGACACAGATAAAGCAGACCCAGGTGAGTGAGGGCCCAGCATTGTGGGTGGGCCGCATCAGAGGCTGGCCAGGCTGGGACCCCAGGAAACAGCCCAACTCCTGCCTTAGGCTGAGATCAAGAAATTCAAACGTGTCCGGAACCATGAGATCAAACAACTGGAAAAACTGGAGAAGCTGAGACAGAAGTCCCCTTCGGACAGACAGATGATCGTATCCTTCCGTGAGGCCGGGCACCGTGTGCTCCCGGGGAGGAGGAGGGCTGCAGGGGCGACCCCAGGGGCTGCGGGTTAACCTGGCTCCTTAACAGCATCTTTCTCAGTCCCAGGTGAGCAGGACACGTCTGTCTGGTGAAGGTAATGAATGGCCTCGCAAAATGGTGAGGTGAGCTTCACCCAGGCAGGTGTGTGCGGGGCCCTGAGTTCGAGTCGGGAGTCTGAGGTGCCGGGAAAGCGGTTGGTTGGGGTCTGAGAGAACTGGGTTCCCTCCCCACAGCAACACCACGCAGCAAGTCAGGGAGTCACTCCCCTCCGCGGGTCTGTAACGTGCTCACTGCTCACACGAGGCGGGCCATCTAGGTGAGGGAACCAAGAGAGGTGACTCACCCGAGGTCACGCAGGGAGCTGACTGACAAACCTGGAACTCAGCCCTGAGGGCGCCTGGCTCTGAAATCCAGCTCCTTCATCTGCCGGCCCACCGTGGAGTCGGTCATACAGATGTCAATCAAAGGAACCAATAAATTAGTTACCTAAAACCTTTCTACCTGCAGGAATTCATGATCAGTGAATGTGGAGTACCTGTTATAATAATATCTTGGTGGTGCCCACTCTAATTCTTGCAACGATCCTGCAGAAGCAGGCCTCATCACTGTCCCTTGTTTGCAGGAATTGGGGCTCAGAGAGGTTAAGTGACTTGCCCGAGGTCACACAGCTGACAAGTGAGTCTGTCCAAGCGGCACCTGCCCCTTTTGCCATGGTCAATGACTAAATTGGCAAGAGATGCCCATGACACAGGACAGCTGGCCCCAAAGTAGGGTGAAGGGACAGAAAATGACCGAGAATGGAGCCCCCATGGCACCCTCTATCTCCGGGGCCAGGCGGAGACCTGTGTGCAGAGAGCCTCGGTGGATGCCGGCCGCACCACCCACCAGCTGGAGGAGACGGTCGATGCCTTCCAGAAGCAGAAGCTAAAGGACCTACAGGTAGAGGTGGGAGGTCCTCAGGCGGAAGTCTGCTGGGCTGCCTCTTGCGTGAGGACTGGTGAGTGTGCCCATGTATGTGTGCACATGGTGGGTGTGTGTGTGTGCGTGTGTGTGTGAGCCCAGGCTCCTAGGACAGTTAATCCTGGCTTCATCCTGGCCACGGGGGTTAAGAGGCCGACTGCTTGGGCAGCTGTCCAGCACAGCTGGCCTGCCTGGAAGCCAGCATTGGCAGCCCAGACATCTCAACACCCAGCACGGCTCCCCACCATCCAGGAGACCTGGGCAGGGTCTGTCTCCCCTAGCCCCCTTCCTGTCTGCACAGGACTAGCCCTGACTGCCTATTCCCCTCTGTGAAGCCCCAGTCACCCAGACCCCAACCCGATGCCCCCAGAATCCTAGGCCCAGAGCCCCTCTCTTACAAGAGGCCTCAGGGAGTCAGGGTCTTTAAGGGCAAGGTGGTCACAGAGGCCCCTGTACCCCCTCTTGACTCCCTCTTTAGTCCATTTTCCAAATTGCAGCCCCAGGGATCTCACAAAAGACAGCTCTGATTTGTCACTCCTAGGTTTAACACCATCCCGTGGTTTCTCTCATTCCAAGGATAAAGGCTGAAATTCCCCCCAAGTCTCCAGAAGCCCCAGCCCAGCCCTCCAGCCTCATCTGGACACACCCCTCCAAGCTCAAGCGCACCAAGCCGTTTCATACCTCAGGGCCTTTGCACAGGCTGTGCCTTCTACCAGGAGGGCTCTGCCCTTACTCTGCATCAAATTAGTACCTCCTTGTCCTTCAGGGAGACTTGCCTGGACCCCCAGACCTGGTCCACCCCACTGTTAGCACACATTGCCCTGCTCCCTCGGGGGACAGTTATCCTAGAAGGTGGATTCATTGTATCTTTAATTCACTCATGAATCTAACAGATGTTTAAATACAAACCGACTATGTGCCAGGAGCTATGTCTGAGGCTGGAGACACCATAGCCAACAAAGCAAGGCCCTGTCCTCACAGAGCTGACACCCTTGGGGGAGACAGATCACGCAGACCCCATGAGAGCCAGGACAGAGATCACTGTTCCCTGCCTGGCTTCCACGCTGCATGTCAGCGTCACAGGGCAGACCCCTGCCTGTCTTGTCCCCCGCTGAGTCCTGGGTACCAGGCCCCAGGCCTGGCACTCAGCAGACATGCAGTAAATATTTGAGAAATGAACAAAAGAATGAACGAACGAATGAAGTGAAACAGTGGTAATTAGTGCCCGAGCGGCTATGTCCAGGCAGAACCTAAAACCACCAGCAGACCAGTGTCCAACACCTGATGTTCATGAGGACTAAAAGCAGGACTCCTGGGGGGTCAGCGAGAGCACCCAACATCCTCTACGGTCAGGGGCCAACAGAACGTGCAGTTTAAAACCAGTATCTTTCAACACCCAGGGGTTAAACTGATAAGAGACACTTATCCAAACCTCCGAATTTTTAAAAGAAATAAAAACCAGAACTTGAAATAATGATTATCACTATATTGGATTTAGATCGCAATTCTAAGAAAATGATCATATTTACAAAACAACTCTCTGACTCCTATAAAAGAATGTAAGCAATACTCTCATGCAGGGGTTCCCCTACCTGAGCAGGCATCAGAAGTCCCCTCGAAGGCTCCTTACAATGGAGATGACCAGCCTGCCATGGAGTCCCATCCCATGGGCCCGGGTGGGCCGGAGAACCTGCATTTCTGACAAGCTCCCGGGTGAGGCTGGTGTTGAAGTAACTGAATCTCGGAGGGCCTTGTGAACTGGGACCGCTCTGGTCTCTGCTGTGCAGATGAATAAACTGAGGCTTGAAGGGATAAGTCATTGACTCGGGCCACACGCCAGTAAAGGGCAGGATGAGGCCTCGTTTCACAGGTGTTACTGCCAGCACCGCCTCCCAGGGCAGGCGGGGAGGAGTGGGGAGGCAGGGATTTCCGATCACAGCCTTGGATTCCCTCTCCCAGGTCAGCTTACAGACCTCCTCGGCCCGCCTTACCCAGGCGCTTCCCATGTGACGTGAAGAGGGCGTTTCCAAACTGCAGGATCCTCCCCTAGCACCAAGCCTGTGTCCTGCTAAGGCTCCCCACACAGTAGGAGCTTGTGCTGTGTTCAGCACACACAAGTCTGCACTGGAGCGGGACACACAACAGGAGCCTGTGCTGGACCTGACACACAGTAGGATCTCCTCTCAGGTCTGGCACACAGTAGGAGCTTGTGCTAGACCTTGCACACAGTAGAAGCCCCCCACTGGAGGCAGGCATGCAGTAGGATCTCTGTAAGAGTTTACTAAGCCATGCTGAACCATCTGATCAAGAGAAGCCTACCTCTCTATCACTAATGTTTTGACAAGCTGGCTGATCAGGTCATGGGGCCTCTGGGCCGAGCAATGTCTACCAGCAGTAACCCCTCCCTCTCTGGTAAGACCCACTTCCAGCTTGTGGGTGACAGAAGCTGAAGGTTTGTAGGCATCAGCCTGCAAACACTTGTCTGCAGAGTGAGACAAGCAAAGGCTGAGTGGATGAGCCCAGAATGACAGAGCTGAGAGCAGGATGCCCTTCAGAAAGTCCTTGCCAAGAAACAAGTCCTCACACATTTCTGGAACAATCCCTGTGCAAGGCAGCATTTGAACTATGGAGATGCATTATGTGTTCAAACAAAAATAAACTAATTTGAAATAATACATTGAAATTCCCTGCCAAGGACCTGCCCCACAAGGACAACTGAGCCCCCACCTCCTGGTTTGTCCACGCCTGAGGTGACCCCAGGGCTGTCCTGACAGTGTTGCTGATCCGGGCTTGTCTCCCCATAGAAAATTTTGTCGGATTTCGTGACCATTGAGATGGTCTTCCATGCCAAAGCGGTTGAGGTATATTCCAGCGCCTTCCAGACTCTGGAGAGGTACGATCCGGAGAGAGATCTGGAGGTGGGTCATGTACACCCCATCTTTTATTTGGGGTGTGGGGTTGACCTTGAAGTTGGTTGTGTCTTGATAGAAGCAATTTTTGCTGGCAACATTTTGCAGTTTCTCTAACTTTGAAGGCTCATTCTCTTGAAGTGCATTAAATAGCTGGCCCTTGGCGCCAGACCAGAGGCAGGTAATGGCCCCCGCACTGTCTCTCGGGGATATCACCATGTTCACTGTCACCTGGGTGTTTAAAAACCAATGAATCAACAACAAGAAGCACATCCAGGGAGATGCTCGCTGTACTCTGCATCGAGACAAGGTGCGTACCCTCCCCCTCTGATCTGAGCGAGATCTAGAGTAAGCTGTCTGAGCTACCTCTGACGCGACGCGCCAAGCCTGGTGGTGTAAGTCAGCCAGCATCACTGTGTTTGTCTTCTTTGGTTCTGGGGTTGGAGGGTTCAGCGGCGCCATCCTCATTTGGGTCCTTCAGCCAGTCCATAGCTGGGGCTGAGTCTTTTCCAAGGCTCCCCACTCGTGTCTCGTTGATGAAGGCTGTCATCTGTGTAGCCAGTAGGCGATGTGATTCAGAGTTCAAAATGAAAACGTGGGCCCTCTGTTCAACAATTACTAAGAATTCCAAGACGGCAGAGTCCTTCCGAGCTGGGGGCCCTGGGCAGTGGTATGAGATGTACCCCGATGAGGCCCGCCCCGTCTGGGTCCATAGTGGGGTTTGCACCCAGAATAACTGACCACAGCCTCTCCCACCGTGGCAGCTGCTCCAAGAGCGAGCATCAGAGACAGAGCCAGGCGGAAATACTGTGTCACCTTTTGTGACCTAACCTCAGAAGTATCTGAGCTTCACAAAGACCGTATTCAAGGGGAGAATTACAGTCCAGCTCCTGATGGGAGAAAGTGTCAAAGAATTTGTGGATGAGCTTTAAAAACACCATAAGACATCAAATGGAGATTGGATAAGCTGCGGTGCAGTCACTCATCTCTACCCTATTTTGGGGGGCGGGAGGGTGATTTCTAATCTTCCTATGTGACGATGGACGTGTTACCTAGCCTCTCTGGGCCTCGGCTTTCCCATCTGTAAAATGGGGTGATAACGCCCACTTACAGGGCTGCTGTAGCTCAAACGGACTGAGGAACCGGAGGCTCCCGGTGCGGGTGGGGGGCCCGGCAGTCACCTCTGCACCCGCCATCCTGTCGGGCCCTCTCTCCTTCCCGCTCACACCCCTTTCTGTTTCCTGAGCGGATTCAACCCTCCCGGCAGGATTTTAGAGCCAAGATGCATGGAGTTCACAGGCCTCACGGGCCTCGCGACGCTCGGCCGCTCACGGACACTGGCCCGGCCGCCGCTGCTCCGTGGTCTCTCGCCCAGGTGAGCCCTGGAGGTGGGGCGTCAGGCCTGCGACAAAGTGAAGGGTCCAGAGGCCACCAAAGAGCCGGAATCCGAGCCTAGCTGCTGAGAGGACCGGCCTGAGGCGGACTGACCCGGCCAGAACCGGACTCAGGAAGCCACGCCCCCGTGCCTGCGGCCGCCGCGGCTCCCGAGCGCCCCCTAGAGGCGTCTGGGGGCGTGTGCACTCCTGCCTCCCAGGGCCCCGCCCGCGGGTTCAGAGCTCAGAATGTCTCAGCTTTTCGGAAAGAAATGCGGTGCATGAACTACCTGCTACCTGATGAGCCCCAGCAAGGCCTGTGGTCAGGCACGTTTATATTCCTGCAGGGAAACCCTTGAGTGCTCAACCAGGTGGGATAAATCAGGGCACTAAGCAGCATCATGCCAGTCAGGGTAGATTTAGTCACCCAGCGAATAGGGGGCAAGGGGTGTCTCATGCTTTCTGGATAATTCTCTCCAAAGGCAGTGAAGGAAGTATGGTCCCTAGTCAGACGGCCTGAGTCCAAACCCACTGCTCCCAAGCTGGGTGGCTCTGGGAAAGTTCCTTAACTTCTCTGTGCCTTAGATGCCTCACCTGCAAAGTGAGGCGAATGATAGTAACCCCTCAAAGCATCGTGTTATTAGGTGAACAGACCTTCCCGAAGCACTTAGAAATCCATACTTGTCACCATCATTATGATTAGTGCTGTGATATTGTTGTTGTTGTTTAGAGTGCTCAGAGCACCATGCGGAGCCACAGAAAAGAAGCAGCGAGCGAGGACAGCTCTGCCGAGGAGGACCCCGTGGAGGACCTCAGGGGGCAGGGGCAGGGCCTCCACCACTAGAACGAGAACTCCCGAGACGGGGAACGGGGCTGATGCTGGTTGCTCGGGGGCTCTGCTGTGCCTTCTGAGCCTCGGTTTCCTCATCCGTACGACAGGGAGAGTATCACTCTCAGGACGCTCTGGGGATCAAGGTGCCAGCCGGGTGCCTGGTGCATAGCTGGTGCTCAATAAATGTGGGTGCATCTCACCCTGACTCGTGCTGGGTCTCGTTTCCTGTCTTATGACCGGGGCTCCGGGTGTTTAAGCCTGTGTTAACGTTGAGAGCTCGGTGGATCATTCTCCAGGGCCACCTTAGCAAATCACCACACATTGGGCGCTTCAAACAACAGAAATCTATTCCCCTACAGTCTGGAGGCCCCAAGCCCGAGATCAGGGCTCTGGCAGGGCTGGGTCCTTCTGGGTCTGTGAGGAGGACCTCTGGGTGGTTCCCAGACATCCTCGGTGCTCCCTGGTTTGTACACACATCACCCTGATCTGTCTTCATCCTTACATGGCGTCTCCCCATGTCTGTGTCCAAATGTCCCCTTTTTATAAGGACACCAGTCATATTGGATTAGGGTCCACCCCATTCATCCTAACTGAATATATCTGCAAAGACTATTTCCAAATAAGGCTACATCTGAGGTCCTGGGAATTAGGACTTTAACATGTGAGTTTTGGGGGTACTCAGTTTACCCACAACACAGGGACATGAGGTGCAGGGATGACCATGGGGCCACTGACCTCTTATCATCAGAAAAAGAGAAAGCCAGCATTTCACAAAAGCTGCCTATCAACCAAGTTAGGAAGGACTGATAAAGGTGTCCTGTTTGTGTCCGGCAGGAGCGATAATCTAGTTCTACTTAAAGCCCACTCCCAGCCCCCAAAAGCAAGAAGCTAGGCAGCGGGGCCCAGAGGAGGGGCAGGATCAGGGTCTCAGCTGAAAGAGGTGAGAGCCTCCTGGAGGCCTGGCCCTGGTGGCAGCTCAGGGGACTCTGCTGATCGGGGGCACTCCCTTTCCAGATTTCCCACAAGACACACACACATCTGCACAAGACCCGGCCGCTCAGCCTAAGTGGGGAAGCATCTATGTGACCCCAGAAAAAGATGTTTTCTTCTGAAAAGCCACTGCTGTCACTAAGACTGCAAATTCTTTTTTTTTAAAAAAAGCCCTCAAGGATATGTGAAAACAAAAATTAAACAGGCTGACTCCTTTTTTTAAAGATAATTTATTTCAGTTTCCACCTTCTGACAATCTGAGGTGCAATATATAGACATACTTTTTTTCTTCACAGGAAACAGCTTTGATTTTAGCACTGCTCTGAGATCTTCAACCTTGAAACTTTCTCCACCTTAAAATATAGTCTGTAGCACACCACCCTATGGGACACGGAATTGCATAACTGTCCACATAACACATCACGTACCTGTATCACTGACCCCTACTTCTGGGCCACTAAGGGCAACTGTGGGTGTGGCAACGGTGGGTTCAGGTCCGAGACAGATGATGGGAAAGAAACAGAGAAGCGCGCAGGAGAGCCCTGCAGAAAGTGCCAGAAGCCTCAGTTGAGGGTGGCAAAGCTCTCCCATGCTCACGCATTTTAAGGGGATGTGTGTCTGCTGTCTGGGTTTCTAGCATCTCCTAGTGTTGACCTGTCCTCCTCCAGGCGTCCACAGAAGGGGCGGCCCCAGGCTGGCTGGCGGCTCTGTGGGGAGGAGAACCGAAGCCTCCAGCACAGGAATGTGTGTAGGAACTGAGCCCGCCGCGCGCTACCCTTTCGTTTTCACAAGCACATCATGCAAGACCAAGGAGGGAACATCGCAGCCCCCAGGGCAAGGGCGGACTGCGGTCCAAGGGGCTTCACCATCAGGAGCCCTGCTTCCAGCTCAGCCCCCACCCCAGTCCTGCTTGGGAGAGCACCTGGGTCTGACCCTGCAGCACAGGCCAGAGGTCCTGCGGGGAGTGATGGGAGACAAAGAGGCAAAGCCAGACCCTCTGGCTCTCTCCTGGAAATGATGAGGCTCCCCCTTTCAACAGTAATCAAGAACTCTTTGGTGGGAGCACTGCCTTCCTTGAACTCCCAGGACACAGCCAGGGGGAGGGTCCCCTCCTGAGCCCTTTGCTCACCTCAAGCTCAGAGCTCAAACAGATCAGCCACCTGGGAGCACAGGCCTGTGCCAGGTCACTCAGGGGCCCAGGCAGGCGGGGTGCACGCTGTGGGTGCCTCCCTCCCCGAGGACAGCAGGGAGGCCTGGCACAGAACGAGGCCTGGGGAACTCTGCCCCGGGGAGAGCCTCAGCATCGAGGGGACTCCTGGACATGAACCATCTGGAGATGCTTCTCCCGTTTGTTATCTGGAGGGCCTACAGTCCTGCTTCAGGCCACATGGCAACCAGGACAAGTTCAAGTACATGGGATGTGCAGCCTGTGTGGCTTGGGTAGACCTGGCTCCGCCCCAGGTCTGCACCCTGCACACCAGTCAATCAGGGCTGCTTCTCACCAGTACAGTCCCCTTCCTGGGGGAGCTCAGCCGAAAGCCTTCCAAGTGAAACCCACCCTCGAGAGTCATAAAAAGGAAGAAATGGGGTGAGACGGCCGAGTCGGACAGGCAGTGGTTCAAGGGAACTGGAAGGATGGGGAGGGGAGGGCAAGAAGGACTCGGGGGCTGAGAAGAACTGAGGAAGACGAGACGAGAGACCACCCTGCGACCCCCAGCTGGATCCTCTCCCGCAGTGGGGACTGGGCCTCGCCGACCTCCTGTCTTCGGCCCCTGCTTCCCGAACTCCCCGCTATTCTGGCAAATGACTCGGCCCCCTGGCTGCTCAGCTGTCTCAAGGTGATTTGGTACACTATCTAAATCAGGTAAATACAGCTATCTAACCACGCGGCTCTGTCCAGATCCCCTCTAATTAAAAAGCCAACTAGTCAGGGTGCAGTCAGGGCCAGTAGGGTCAGGCTTGTAGCTGCCATCCTGACCTCTGGTTATGGTTAAACAAAACCCGTGCCAAACCCTCTGTGGTGTGGGCGCCGTGCTGCTTGCACCGGGAGGCTGGGATACTAGGTGCTTGGGATGATAGCTTAACCCACAGGAAACAGTTCACAGAAAAGCAAACCTCGGGGCTGTCACCTTCTCTGCACAGCAGTGAACCCTGCTGTCTAACCGGGGAGGGCAGGAGGGTGTGGGCTCCCCTGGCCTCCACTCCCAGGAAGGAGGGAAGAGAAAGGCCAGGTGGCTTCTCTGATGCCCACCCAGGGTCTCTGTCCTAAACCCCAGGGGCTTGCCCATTACCCGGACCATCTCAGGGTTTATTTGGACACAAAACTCAGCAACTGGACTCTTCCTAGTCCTCCTTTTGGTAATTCAAGGGCTCTTGGGCCTGCTTTGTTTTTTGGCAAATGGAAAATCATAGTCTACTCCATTTCACTTTACGAGTAACTCACAATATTGGAACTTGGCTCTCTTCTGCCTTTGGTTAAAGGCACGCGGGCGCGCGCGCACACACACCACCCCCCCCCCCGTAGATACAATCTGAACATTAACATGGCCTCTTAAACATCTATCAGTATTGCTAAAATTGTTAATAATGGCCTAAAACATACAAAGCCACATCTCAATATCACCGTTTCCAAAGCAGGGGACTTTTTACTTGGAAGAGTGAACTGTTTTTGGCTCCCTACGACTCACACTGCCCCGAAGGACAGACAGCAGGAAACCCGAAATTCCTTTGCTAATGCAGACCTTCGAAACTCCTGGCTTGGGACACCGATCCTGCTGGGACTGGAAACTCTCTTCTTGGATACGACCCAACGCTTCCTGCACCGAGTCTCAGAGTCCTGAGCTATTTCTGTAAAGCCTCCTGTGTGTCCGGCGAGGTGAGACTTCTCTGCGCACTGGGACCTTGGAAAGTGTGCTCCGGGTCTGCTCTGGCAGGTCCGAGGGGAAGAGACTATGTCACAGAGAGGAAATCTCAGTGAGGCAAGCTGCTGGCCTCCACTCGGGATGCCGTGTCCCCTCTGGTGACACTGGCCAGACACTCCAAAGTGAAATGTCCAGCCAATGGCAGCTGCCAACAGGAGACAGACAGCAGAGCAGCCTCCAAGCCACCTCGACATCGTCACTCTGTAGTGCCCCCTCCTGGTGCTGAGCATGACAGGTAGCACCTCAGAGGTCAGACTAATTCCACTCTGAGCAGATAGATCTACACGAACACGAACCCATGGCAACCCTTGCCTCTACTTCAATTGCTATTTCAAGGGGCCTATATGGAAAAAAAGTCTCAAGATCATTGTGAAGTTAAAGTGCTTGGAAAAAACTGAAGACATCAAAGCTGCATTTCCTTCCAAGGCTGTGGGGGCCCTCCCAGCCCCCGCCCCCAGGGGGGAGAGAGCTGCCCTGCACCCCTCAGCACTCCTGCAAAGACTCTCAGAACCGAATCCCTTCTCCGAGAAATCAGACCGAATCAAATATCCATACAAAAATCTGATATATACAAGGATAAGTCTTTTGGGCACCTTAGAATAAAGTCTTAATGCATTTCAACTAACCACTAAGAAATGACGAGGAAAGCTGGGGAGAGCGCCCCTGAGGGGCTTGCTGGGGTGCTGGAGGGAACACAGTGCACCCAGGGGTTATAGCTGAAGGTCTCAGGAGGGGCTGCATTGCCTGCAGGAGGCATGCAGGCCTGCACGCCTGGCCACTGGATGTGATTTCTCTGAAATGCATTCACTGGAGACATGCACTATCCCTGGGCCTGACATCAGGGTGGGGGTGACCTGCCCCCGCGCGGGACAGGCAAACCGGTGACACAGTTGTGCTTTGTTTAGTGACAGGGCCAGAGAGGCTGAAGTCACACACGTGTGCACACACACACACACACGCACGCATCATCATAAAAACAGTGGGGTTTCTGAAGCCCCAGCCCCCCAGTCCTCCAGGAGAAGCATGTCACACCCATGCTTCATGTCACCTCTCTTGTGATCACCAAGACACACGTCCTACAGCTCATCCAACACCCGGGAACAGTCCAGCGGGGCACGAGGGAGACCTTGAGCACTGGAGAGAGCTGAGGACCAGGCATGGTCTGTTGTGCTCCAGAGGACACAGCGACTGGACGGCGAGCCGGGGAAGGTGGGAGGGAGAACAGGATGGGGACAAAGGCAGGAGGGACAGCACGAGCTGGGGGCGGACAGAGGAACCCAGGCAGATGGAGTATCCACAGCAGGGCAGCCGGCATGCTGGAAGCCTGTCTGTCAGACCCAGTGCCCTCAGACTGGTGACTGTGCCCGGTGCAACCCCAGGGAGCAAAGCCCCGGCTCCCGGGCACCGGCACGAGCCGGCCAGGGGCGTCCGCAGAGTCCTCAGAGCCTCCAGGCCCCGGGCCGCTGGGCGGGGGGCTGAGGCTCCCAAGTGCTTACTAACCCATCTCACGTGGTCGCCGCCAGAAGCCGCCCCTGCCCCGCCATCTGTAGCACTGACACAGACCTTTCTGTCTTTTTTGAAATCAAGAGCAACACTGTGTGCTTCAGAAAGGGCGGGCTGTCTTGAAGTTGCTGAAAAAACTTTTCTGTGCTTCGTCACGGGGTGCACAGCCCCAAGGTACCCCCAGGATCGAATGGCAGAAGTTCCTCTGCTCAGAAGGAAGATACCAGGAGCCCAGGAACCTCTTAGATGGCCTGACACAGGCCCCTAGGTTCCCTGTGACGTCTCCAAAGCACTCACACACACCCAACTGTGGCCAGGCCTTCTGCAGCCAGGAAAAAGTGTCCTCTGTCCCCGTCTCTCTCCTCCTTGAGGATCCTGTCACTCCAGTCCCTGTCACATGGAGGGGGGAGCCGGGGAAGAGCCAGCACCAGCCCTAGACTGATGCAGAAAGGCCCACTGCCACCTCTGCATGAGCCCTGACTGTGAGAAGAACCCCAGATCCCTGCAGGGGAGGACCCCAGATCGTCACCCACGACTGCCCCGAGTCACCAGCATGTGCTGGCTCACGGCTGCCTTCACCCCTCCTTCCCACGGATGCCCCACCCTCTCCCCCAGGAGGCTGTGACTGACACTGCGCCTGCCCTGGACCAGGCATCCTCTCTCCTCCGCTGTCTCGGCCACAGGCCTGATGCCAGAGGTGTGGACAGTCACCTCAGTTTTAGCCGTGTAATCCCAGGGACACTTTGGCACGTGGACAGGGGAGCAGACACAGGCAGAGGGGAGGTGGAGAGGACGGGCGACCAGAATCTTCTAACCGCTAGTTCTAGGGTGGCGTGGAGCGGCTCCAGGTGCTGCCGATGCCATGCAGGGGAGTGACGGCCAGCCGCTGGCCCAGGAGAGCAGCGTGCGCCACAGTCCTGAGGGTGCCTTGGGCCACCTCTCGCGGCTACTCAGTGGCCGTCTGCTCGATGTGGTCGCTCAGCAGCTTGTACTGCTCTGCAAGAGAACACAGTGAGACTTTTTGGAAGAGAGGGCGATGCAGACAGGCTGGTCATGCTCTTCTCATTCGGGGCAATGACAAAGTAGGACCTCCCAGGGAAGGGTGAGCACGTGGTGACACAGAGCCCTCAGCTGCCAGCACGCTGCACGCTGGCCTCAGACATGCACCAGAAGTAGGCTCCTTGGAACCAGATGCATCTTCCCGTGGAAATGATGCTCTGGAGGGCAGCCCCACAGGCCCCCTGGGGACCCCGAGAAGGGCTGGTGTGGTCAGATGAACCACATCACAGGAGCCAGGCTTGCATCCTGGAGACCATGGAGGGGCACATGGTAGGGGACGGTGTCCTTGCCCTCTGCCAGGTGGGGGGCTGGTGGCAGGACTTTGAGATAGTCCGGGGGTTCCTCCTGAGGCCACCTGTCCACCACCCTCTTTAACTTGGTGCAGGATGGAGTTTTATTTTTAAACAGTATTGATCTGTCCAATTACATGTCTGAGTAGAAGGCTTTCTAGGCCACAAAGAAGAACTATCTTGTAGCAGGTGGGATCAGGGCCAGGTGTAGATTAGGAAGGTCACCAGCAATGTGTCCCCTTCGATTACAGAAGTCAGAGATTCTGGAAACACCTCAAGACTGCCCCCTCTCCCTGCTCCTGGACCTCCCATGGCAGGGTGGTCCAGGAAACAAAGGCAGGCCATATGGTGGCCGTTTATAAGAAGGGGCAACTCATGGCCAGAGTTCGCCCCTTTTCAAGGTCAGGGTCTGAGTGCCAAGGTGCACCTTTACTTGGCCCTGTCTGTGGGCACTGACCTGGCAGGCTGCCTCAGCCCTGGGCAAATCCTACTGGTAGAAATGGAGTTCCAAACGGGAGGAAAAGCACGGAGGCAGGCAGGAACGTTTAATGTCACATTTCTAATCACAGTAGGGATGACCCTCAGAGCAGGGTGGGAAGGCCCACATGCAGCACACTTGTTCTTAAGACCGCAGCCCTGCCGGCCTTGCCGCCACTCACCCTCGTCCAGGTTGCCAATCACTGCCTGCTTCTTCAGAAAGTCATTGCACAGCTTCTTGTTCAGCCCGAATGCCAGCATGTTGTGTGTGAACGTGCTGCGGGAAAACAGGCGTGAGCTGGCACCCGTGCTGCCTTCCTGGGGAAAGGGAGCTGGGGCCCAACACGCAGCCCGTGGGGACTCGTTAGAGAGGAGGAAAGAGGGAGGGCCTCACCAGCCAGCCAGCAACTCTCCCTGTGACACTGCCTCCGCCAGGGGTGGTGCTGAGTGGCGGGTTGATTAGGAACTGGAGTCGAGGCCGAAAGCAGTTAATCGTGTGCTTCTGAGCTGAGAGCGCACAGTGTCTGACCCTGAGTCACGGCTGTGTGACATCATATGGTGGCAGGAGCATCTCACCCAGCAGCCCCTCCTTACTGAGTTTGAGCATCAGTGTCAGAGCCCCCGCCCCGCTTTCTCATCCCCAGGTGGCCTGATGTGGGGAGCGGGGCCCCCATCAGCACCCATGCAGGGTTGGGGGGGAGACCGGCCACTGCTCTCACCCCAGCTGCCCGAAGGTGATGTTCTCGTTGAAGCGCAGGCTGTCATCCCGCTCCTCTTGGGTCATGTGGCTCCACCTCTCCCTGCAAGCACAGGAGGAGCAGCAGGGGGTCCTCAGAGCCTGGGCCATGTCCCCGCCGTGCGCCTCCCCTGTTCTGACTACAGGTATTGGCGGCACGGGTGTGGCCTCTCCGACACAAGGGCACCTCCACGGAGGAGCTGTTAGCTCTGCTTCCAGAGAAGCTGCCCAAGGCCTGCTGCCTGCCCAAGGGCCGAGACACAAACTCATCACACGGTCCTGCTGGAGATAGGAGATCCGGGACCCAGAGATGATGTGTGCTGAGTGGTTCCCAGAACATTCTTTAGGAGACAGGAATGCTGCCCATCCCTCCGCCACCATGCCATCCTTTACAGTTCAAGGATAGGAGGTCACAGGGCCCATGTGACTGCCCAGAGACCCGCGGAGAGGGCAAGGCCCCACAGGAGGCCATCTGTAGGGAATGAGTGTTGCAGACCCAGTGAGGAGGTCCCAGGACCTCTGCTTGTCCCCAGGCCTCACGGCTCCTCGGCGAGGTCCACCCGGCTGTGGGGCTGGAAATGCTCTGACCACACACTGCCCACCAGGCCGGCCTGGCTCTGCCACCGTCACTTTCCTTCCAGGCTCATTCTGCTTGCTCCCTCCCAGAGTGCATGGATAGGACCTGTTACTGCAACCCGTGACCCGCCATCAGGACAGCACAAAGCTTCTAAGCAAAGCTCAGAAACCCGATGAGGAAGGGCCTGGCCCGTGGGCTCCAGGGCTGTGTTCTCTGGGCAGAAACAGGCTCAGGGGGAGGGTGCTCTTTTGAGCTGTAATTGCTCTGTGTCCCTGAGTGGACTGATTCTACCAGCTCCTGGAGGGCATCGGCCCCTCCCTTATGGCAGAGTATCCTTGTCCCAGGGGGCTGGGGCATTGCCCCTGTACCACTCCACCCCCGCCCCAGGGCACAGGGCTGTGCGACTGAGAAGTGAGCAGATGCAGACATGGAAGAGAAGCTCGTTTTAGCCTATTTCCCCTTAAAAATTACACTCTGGATGAGAAGTCTGACTAAAACAGGGTTGAAAGAAAAGATAAAAGGGAGAGAAGAGGCAGTGTTAGGAGCAGGGTCAGGGTGATAGAGAAGCCGAGGGAACAGGACAGAACCAGGAACATCAACTCTTAACTCCTCTCTACCCTCCTGGCCCAGGGAGGCCACTGGTGCTGCTGCAGCTGAGCGGGAGCTGTGGGACGCCAGGGCACAACAGAGGAGAGTGGAAACATCACTCCCAGCCTCCTTGTACTAATGACAGGAAACCCACAAAGAGACCCAGACTGTGCTTCCAGGTACTGCATCGATCCCATCCCATCTTCCTTCCCATCCTCTTTCCCCTAGGGGTCACCCTTAGGTATCCAAGCACAGAAATCCCCACACCAGTACCAGGCTTGCTGTGTACAGTTGTGCAGGTTGTGTACTGCACAACCCCAGACCACATGGAAATGGCTCCCTTGCCGTCATGCAGCACAGCAGCTTTGACCCCTACTCCTCCGGAGGAGATGATTTGTTTTGCTGGGGTTAGGACTAAAATTGGGACATTTAATCTGACCTCTGAAGAAACAGGTAGAAGGTCATCAGCGATCACAAGCTGCCTACGATCAAATCCATTCCTTAAAATTGAGTTCAGTGCCCAATACCAGTCAATGTCTAAGAACACAAGAGAGCAGAACATGTGTCTAAATTGCCACAGTGGGAACTGGGATGTGACCAACAGCTTACAGAACAGGAAGCCTCCTGAAATGGGGACATTTCCGCCTCTGAGAACAGAGAGAGCACTAATGGTATTGCAGCAATAATGTTGGAGGCACAAAGTTGCCAAGGACCCAGAGCCAACGCCCCCAGTCCCCAAACACTTGCCCTCCTGCTGGGTCATGTAGGGTGTCCCGGGGGCAGGTCTGGGATGTGCATGGCCAGACCACATCTGCTCTGGGTGAGAAGGCCTGTGAGGCCCAGAGACTCGCTTCCCCTTGTGGGGCTCAGCACGGACCGGCTCAGAGGCCGTGATGCTCCAGCCCGCTCGGGCCTCGGGTGTGGTGCTGGGAAGCCTTGCTCCAGGAAGGCTGATTCATCACCCTCCCCCCAAGAGAGGCTGTGGGAGCGTGGGGGCTTTCTACAGACGGAGGTATCTGCTGTGCCTAAACAGGCCTTTTAAAGCCATAATAAGGCTGCATAAAAAAAACAAGACTTCTCATAAAACAATAAGAGCTAAAAATATACCACTGATTAAAGGAAGCATGCTTTTGGGAAAAAAACTCACTGTATCAGAAACTATATTTTGAATCAGCAGGCCTTTAACTCTAAAAATATCTTACAAAGGTATCTAACAAATATAAAGTTCAAATAGTTCAAGTCAGACCCCCACCATGGGCTCTCAGGAAACAGCCTGTTCTAGACCCTTCTCTCCAAGAGACCCCCTCACACACACAGGCTCCAAGTCACACAGCAGCTGGGAGGAGGGAACAGCTGTCCTTTCTCCAGGATCCCACCCCCAAACCTGTCAGAGCAGGTGAGGGTCTGCCAGAGCCCACGTGCCTCAGGGCATGATTGCAGAGACAGGTCCTCTGCCCCAACCTGTAGCTTCTGAGTCGGGGTCAAATGTGTGGTTCCAGGCTCTGTTCGGAGAAGCCGGAGCGGCCAGTGGAGGCTAGACTCGCTCACGGTCAGAGCTAACTTTGGGGACCTCACTGCTCTCTCCTCTGGGAATGCACACCGGGCCCCGTGGGGGTCTCGGGTGCGGTGTTTGCCCCCTGACCACTACAGGTCTCTATCCTGGGCGAGCTCCCACCATCACCAGCCTGTCCCCGCGTGTCTGGGCGCGACCCGCCCCCACCCCAGTGGCCCCGGAAGGGCCCCACACTGCCCGCGGACAGCCACGTGGACACACACCTCTTCTTCTCCTCCTCTCCAGCATCCCCTCTGGAGCGGCAGCAGAAACAGGTAAACAGAGGAACATGTCAAAGTCATGCAAGATGTGTGGACGGACAAGAGAACAAGCGGGAAAGAGGGCTATCCCAGCAGAAACGGAGGTGGAGACGGGGCGCCAGGGGACAGCTGCCTAGGAGTCTGAGGAAACCCAGCTCGCCTGCAGGCACTTCCTTTCTGTGTCTCTTGGCAGAGCGGAGAACTCTCTCTCTAGAATCCTCAGGACCGTACCAACGACTCCCCCCCTCCACATGCTCCCGACTCCCGAGGAAACGCAGCCACAGCACGCTGCCGCGGGGTGCGAGGCAGGCCCTCCCGCCCCCGTTAGGGTCTACTGCCCCCGAGAAAGAAAGCTTTCGCTTGAGCTCCGCCACGTGCTGGGGACTAAAGTCTTCAGCAGCAGGTGCCTGCCTACTCCCCTGCCCGGAGAAAGCGGAAGGGGTCTCCCCGAGTTGGAGGAGAGGACTCGTTTCATGAACGAGGAGAGATTCAGAGACATCAAAGTCCCGGGACTGGAGGGGCCAACACGGCGACCCAGGCCTGGCGGCTGCTGCCTCTTCCCCACACAGCCGCCGCTCACAGCGGGCGGCAACCTCAGCTCACAGTGGCCAGAGAGAGCTGGGCCTGGCGCCCCCGCCGGCGGCCACTACGTGCTCTGTGGAATGGTTTACAAAAGGGCTTCCAAGGTGGCAAGACTGCCGGTAAGGAGCTGGAAAGGCCTGTTCAGACTGCAGCCCAGAGCAGTAAGTTGAACGTAGCAACTGCCTTTCCCTAGATGTGAGCCCCGCACCCCAAGACCGCACTGCCATGGCCCCAACACAGGAGTCTGGCTTCTTAGAGAGACAGGCAGAGGGGGTCTCAGGAGGTCCCGATGGTTTCAGTGGGAGTCCGCATTTTTTAGAAGGGTCAGGCCAAGTCATGCCAGAGCCCCAGGGCAGGAAGCGCTCATGCAGGCTGAGCCCCCCACCCACGAAGCTGCGTGCCCAGGACCCTTCAGGCAGCTTGCAGGGCACAGGGGCCGGAAGGAATGGAGGAAGAAACACAGACGCATCGACTCAGCCGTTCTGTTCTTCCATTCTCCTCGTCAGAAACGGGAAAGGAAGCCTCTCCCTGGGCCTCGTCCCTGAGGCAGCGCAGGCCCGGACTTTGCCCCTACCTGGTCGTGGGGGACCGCTTCCTCCTCTCACAGTGGACAGCGTCAAAAAAGGCCGCATTCCAGAACCTCAGCGTGTGCCTGCCAGACAGAGCAGGTGGGAAAGACGGTCTCAGGCCCGCCTGAGGGATAGGGTTGGGGAGCCTCAGGGAGCAGAGACGGAGGACACAGACGAGCATGCGCCTTTATCCCACTGGAACTGGGTCCCTGGGCTCCCGAGGAGGGAAGAGCATCACTGGGGATGTGCAGGCGTGAAGGGGAGGGTGGAGCTGGGTCAGCCCGACTCATCAGGTCAAAGCTGAAGCCGCCACCTGCAGGATGCGGGCAGGGACTGTTTCCCCTGCTGCATCTCTTGCTGAGGCCCCCAAAGGGAAACAGAGGCTTCTGGGAGACCTATTTTTCTAGAGCTGGGTCTAGAAACATAAATGGGGGCCCGGTGGGGACAGGCCATAAGCAGAGAGAAAACACATTTATAGGGACACACAAGACAGAATCATTCTTCCCAAAGACCAGGGTCAGCAAATTTACGGCATGTGGGCCAAACTCGGCCTGCTGCCCGTTTGTGTAAATCAGGTTTTATGGGCTCACAGCCACGCCCATTCCCTGACGTCCTGTCTAAGGTGGCCTTTGCACTCCAGCAGCAGAGTGGAGTAGTTGCCTGCAAAGCCTAAAATGTTTATCACCCAGCTCTTTACAGGAAAGTGTGCTGAGTGCTGTTGCAGATGCAAAGACAGCCGCCGAGGCCCGGCCCAGAGGGGCAGAGCTAAATCTTGGCTTGGTGGGACCGGGCTGCTCGGCTTCTTCTCCCTGCTTCCACTGAGCCCGGCCCTGCAAGGTGGGGCCCCTCTCAGAGGCTTCCGGACAGCTGCACCCCAGCCCCTGCTGACCACACACCTCATGTGCCCTGCTCTGCTGTGGCCAAGTTCTCCTACTGCTCAACTGTGATCTTCAAGGGAGGGGCACGCCTGAGACCCTTTGGGTTTCAGGTGCTAGTACGCTGCCTACTTGTGGGTAAACAAAACATGCTGATGGAGAGGCTTCGGAGGGATGGTAGCAGCACGAGTGGGCGTCCTCCGAGCAAGACAGAGGGCGGGAGCTCCCTGATCACTGGTCTCTTGCTTCACTACAGCCTTCATGTGTATACATTATTTATACACATACATGAAATGGCTTTAATTAGGATATCATTTGCACACCATAAAATTCACTCTGTTAAAGTATACACGTCACTCCTGGGCAGCTATCTGGAGAGAACTCTAATTTGAAAAGATACATGCACCCCAATGTTCACAACAGCACTATTTACAACAGTGAAGACATGGAGGCAACCTAAATGTCCACTGGTAGATGACCGGATAAAGGCGATGTGGAGAGTGTGTGTGTGTGTGTGTGTACACACAAAATGGAATATCAGGAATGTTACTCAGCCATAAAAAAGAATAAAATAATGCCATTTGCAGCAATATGGATGGGCCTAGAGATTATTATACTAAGTGAAGTAAGTCAGCAAAGAAAGACATATCATATGATGCCACTTATATGTGGAATCTTAAGATATAAATAAACTTATTTATAAACCAGAAAGAGACTCACAGACATAGAAAACAAATTATAGTTACCAAAGAAGAGGGTGGGGAGGGATAAATTAGGAGTTTGGGATTTGCAGATACAAACTACTATATACAGAACAGATAAACAACAAGGACCTACAGTCCAGCACAGGGAACTGTACTCAATATCATCTAATAACCTGTAGTGGGAAAGAATCTGAAACAGTATATACAAATATATATATACACACACATGCACATATAACTAAGTCACTTTGCTGTACACCTGAAACTAACACAACATTTTAAACCAACTATAATTTAAAAAGATTAAGAAGTAAATTCAATGGCTTTTAGTATATTCATGGAATTGTGCAATCATCACCACCATCCACCTCATGGAACATTTTCACTCACCTAGCCCCTGGCAACCACTAACCTTCTCTGTCTCCCGGGGTTTGCCCATCCTGAACACTTCACATAAATACACTGTGTGGTCCTTTGTGTCTGGTTGCAGTCACTTAGCAGAATGTTTCACCCCCATGTTGTGGCAGGTGTGGGTGCCTTGTTCCTTTAGATGGCTGAGTAATAGCCTGCATTTTGTGTATCCAGACATCAAATGCCCATGGAGATGGACATTCAGGTTATTTCTACTTTTTAGCTCCTAAAAATCATGCTGTTATGAACATTTGTGCACAAGTTTTTCTCTGAGTACCTGTTTTCCACTCTTTCGAGTATCTACTCAAGAGCAAAACTGCAGGGGCCCAGGGGGACTCTGTTCAGCCTCTGAGGAACTGTCAGGCCCTTGCTCACAGTGGCTGCCCCCTATATGACACTCCCACCAGCTGTGGGCAAGGTTCCAGTGTCTCCACATCCCCGCCAGCACTCGCTACCGTAAGGGTGGCCTTACCAGATGGGCTGCTGCTTCAGGTGCGTGTACAGGTAGATCTTCTCCCCCCTGCTCTCCTCTTCCGGGCTGCACACAGTCACTGCGGGAGGGGGAGGAGACTGAGGGGGCGCTGCCTGCATCAGGTGTCGGCAAACCCTCGGCACTGCCCCCGGCCAGCTCTGTGTCCCCCCGGGGGTCACACCGACACGAGGCTGAAGTTCCTCGGCATCTGCTCTGCTGCCCGTGGTGATGCCCACGCCTGGCCAGGAGGGCTCCTTTCGAGGGAAGGACGGGGTAATGGCTCCCCCACCCCTGGTGATACTTCCCTCGGCCTCCCTGGGGTGAGGTGTTTGCCCCTAGAGGAGTGGGTTTTCATGGAAATTCAAGAAGAGATTATAGGCCAGAGCTGAGAGGACCCTGGAATCACGTACGGCAGCGCCTTGTGCCTCAGGGGAGCTGGAGCCCAGGATGCCGGGGGACCTACTTGGAGGTGCTGCTAGTTAGTCGTGGGCTGAGCCAGATCCCAGTGGGGCTGCTGGGGTGCCGGCCTGGCGCCCCTGGGCCCGACAGCACAGGGAGGCACTCACCCGTCTTCTGAGGCTTCTCCTGGGGCTTGCCCTCATCCTCCCTTGGGGAGAGAAACCGCAGCAGTGACAAAACGACCCCCACGGTTTCTCCAATCAAAGAAACCCTTCTACGCTGCTAAAATGGGATTATGACTCGTAACCAATATGTACATTTAATGGGATTTTCTCTGGGAACATGTTTATGAACTCAAGGCTTTATTTACCAATTGCCGGTCTTTTAGAATTGAAGAGATGTGGTGTTTAAGCTTCTTTGTGCCATTTTCTCTGAATCTAATACTGTCTGGACCAGAGAAGGAATATAGCCAAGTCACCCGGTTGTAGCCAGGTCATCGGAGGTGATGGCAGGGACCATCCAGGGCTCAGGGCTCTCTCTTGCTGCATGGAAGTCCTAGTTTCTACACTGTTCTAAAGTGCCCAGCCCCCAGAAGTTCCCGAGCTACTGCCGGAGCACTGCCATCCTGGGGACATGATTTCTCCCGCATCTGCACCTGCTCCATGACACAAGCTCGCACCGCACTTAGAGGAGGAGCAGGAGGGAGGGTTTATAATCCCCCCCCCCCACTGACAATTTCCAGACGCTCCTCATCAGCCCTAGAAACATGGACCCACGGGGAATATACCTGCATGTCAGCCAACCGAACAGTGCTGGGAAACCCTGGAAAACTCCGGGGCCAGGGAGCAGGCTGGGCTGGAGGCTGCGCTTCCCGGGAGTGTGCTCCAGCCTCAGGGATGGCCGAGGGCGAACAAATGCGCCCATCGCCAGGCCAGGGAGCTGCCTCCTTGTCACCACCACCCGCAGGCTAACTTGGTTTCTGCCCTTTGTCAGTCCTACAGTCAGGGAGGGATGCAGGCCGAGGTGATACTTACTCGCTTCTCCTGACCAAGGGCCCCTTCGCCTTGGTCTCCAGCCCAAAGAAGCCCTTGACACTCTCTGTCTTGCCCGATGTGCTCTTCAGCAGCCGCTCCGCGATGTCCTTCTTCTCGGCTAACCAGCTATTGGCCGACTTCAAGTAGGAGTCGATGCTCCCAGCCGGCTTCTCCTTGGATTCTGAGCGGAGTAGGTGTGGTTTACCTGGAGGGCACAGGAGAGGGCAGGAAGAGCTGCTTGGATGGTGGGGCCGCCCCCTCCTGCAATCGCCAGATACCACAGCCGGAGCAAGAGGCCCAAGGATGCCCGAGAGCAGACAGAGGGCAGTCACTAAGCACCCACTGTGTACAAGAAGTGAGCCAGGTGCCACAGGAGGTAAAGAGGAAACGGGCAGGGACCCAATGGTAAGGAAGCAGTGAGGCCTGAGCGAGGTGAGTAGTTCACGGGGACAGTGCAGCACACAAATGGAGGAAGAGGGGAGTCTTTCCCGGTGGAGGGAGGGGCCTGCAGTTTCCAGATTCACGGCCCCTGGACTGGTCCTGAGTCAGCAGGGTGTTGGATGAGGGAGACAGTGCGAGGAGGGCCCCCACGAGAAGGAGGAACATCTCTTCCTCAGGGCAGTGTGTGGAGCAGGCCCAGCACCCCTACAGGCCAAAGGGCGCCCTTCAGGGCAAAGGGCTTCTGCACAGAGGGGTATGGAGAGGGCAGGCTGCTGGGGCGAGGAGAGGACGAAGCCTGGTTGCAGAGGAAGGGATGCACCATGAGGGTGCGCCCACTGGTGGCAAGGGAGGCCGGGGCTCACACTGCCCTGACCCAGCCCCGGTCCCGGCCCATGCCGGCCCCCAGCAGCCCTGTCCCTGTGGTGCCAGAACGCGTCTTTGTCATCGCAGCCCAAGGAGCGGAACATGTGATGCACCAGGAGGTTCTGGTGCAATGAGCCAGGAGATCTCAATCCACACGCCCCACCAAGGCACCCCTAGACCGTCCAAAACCCTGGACGGCCCCTCCTCGCCCCCTTCCACGGCCAACCCTGTGTCCCATTTGGCTAAAACATGAGACCGATGTCCTCACACCCAGCAATCCGTGCGTCGACCCTGAAACGTCCTGCCCTGTGTGTCCACAGCCAGGACCGCCAGCCTCCTGACTGGCACCGTGGACCACTCCTCTCCTCCTGCTCTAGGGGACTCACTGCTCGTGGGCTCCCTCCCTGACAGCAGACCGCTTTGTTTTCTGGACCAGGAAGAAATCCCCATTTGATGTGCCCTCAGAAGCTGAGCCTCAGGACCCGAGTGTGTGCCCCGCACCGTGAGCCGCGCCGGGGCTTACCGATGTAGTAGTAGGTGAAGCACATGGTCATGAGGTTCCTGGCCGGCCCGAAGTCGTCCATCTGGTGGCACCTGGCGGGGGCAAGGTGACAGGCTGGAGGGGCGCCCACCTGATGCCCACCCTGCGCGAGCACCATGCCGCGAGACCGGGACACCTCGCTGCCCAGGGACCACGTGGGAGAAGCAACAGAAATTCCTCCCCTGGGTCACCCGCAGGCACACGGCCTGGGAGCGCGTCCGGTTCCGATGGGAAGGAGCTCGCCGTCCGTCAGCTGGGCTTCTTTCACCTTCAAGGCGGAACAGCCAGGGCCCAGGAAGCTCAGCCCCACAGCGAGAAGCTGCGCTAAGCTGGGGGGCGGGCGCAGGCCCCAGGCCACCCTCTAGCCCCTGCTTTTCAGGAGCGAGCAGTGACTCAGGTGACATACCCCAGACGGGCGCAGCAGCTGGGTCACCTCGAGGGCCTGTTAGGCAGCGTGTCCCCGGGCCAACCCCCGAGCCTCTGGGGCTGCAGGGCTGGGACAGGGCCTGAGAATGTGCGTTTCTCACAAACTGCCTCGTGACACTGAGGTTCGGCTGCTCCCGGCCCGAGGACCGCACTTTGAGGACGAGGGAATACAAGTACCGACTTCCCTATGTCATTTGCTGAAAATCAAATTAAATGATTCCATACTCCGATAGGCTAAAGAATGCTCCACAACGTGAAGGGCGATACTCACTACATACGTTGCACTTACTACATTACGGTTATGAGATGCACGTGGGTCCATTCACATCCGCAAACAAAAAAGGGGGAAAAACTTCAAAAAGAGGGCCTGTCTGCCACTAGGAATTTCTCCTGTTACAGTTGCAAAGGCTACGGTGATGTCCAGTGCAGCACTGTGAGCGCGAGGAAATGGGGAGTCAGCCAAACGAGGGTCAACAGGGCGCGTGCTGGATAAACGATGGCCCATTCACATGGTCACTAGCCCGCCTCGCAGCCGTTACAGACGCAGCGCTGTACGCAAATACATGGTGCTGCCTGTTTTGAAAATGCATGTACTTGTGGGCATGTGCATCACTAAGAATGGCTGTCACTGGGAGATGGTCCGGAAGTGAGAGGCAAGAGTGTGAAAGAGTTGGACCTTGAATTTAACTGCCCTCTCCACCGCCAAGTTTTACTTATTTAAGGACAAATTGAAAGAAAAACTGAGAGTTAGGAAAGTACGTTATCATGTGGGACAGGCACCACCTACCCAAATACGGGTTCATGAAAATCCCAGGGGATGCAGACGTCTTCCGGGCAAGAGAGCATGCTGGCCCTGCCACCCGGGGGGACTTCGGAGCAGCTCCCGGCGTGCCCCAGCCAGCATGGGCAGGCTCCACCTCCCCCGGTGAGGGCTCACCCGTCCACCCGAGCAGGCTCCCAGACCCAGATTTTCTGCTGGGCACAGCCTGAACTTGGGACATTCTGAGCCGGAAGTACAGGGGCTCCTCTCTTTTGGTCATTTTCCTCCAGGACATGCCCCCCATTTATGGGGGGACAGAGAAAGGTGGGGAGACACTGAGACACAAGGAATTAAGGTCAAGGGAGCAGCCACATTTCTGTTTGGAGAAGACGGGGAAGGGACAGTAAGGGAGGAGTTTTCCATCCTGGAAGGACACAATGGCCATGGGGACATGGTGAAGTGGACACGGCATAAGCCACGCGACCAGGACCTGCTCGAGGCCACATGGAGGTGATGGGGGCAAGTGGGCGCAAACAACAGTCAGATCAGGGTCAGGGCTTCCCTCCGCACTCCCTTTCCCACGCACGCCATCCCCACCATGAAAGCCACTGCTCAGCTCCCCCCAGGAAGACACAGCCCCTCTGGGTCATACTTTGGAGGGCGCGTCCAGCTCCAGTGCAAGTCAGGACGTCTCAGTGGGCCTGGCAGTCCTAGAGCCACGGCCGCAGGAGCCCTGCTGGTCACGTGGCCTGCCTCCCACGGCCACACCGAGGGGCGGGCCCGTTCGCCCACCCCACACTGTCCAGAACGCCCTCCGTGACGAAAGGCTCCCGCAGTGCCTAACTGGTACTCAGGGCGGGCTACGTCACCCAACCCCACCATTAAGTGGGCGGTGACTTAGTGTGAAGTACTTCCCAATAGGAAACCAAGAGGACTCCAGATCTCCAGAAGGAGGGCGGGGGCCGTGTGTCATCACAGCCTGTCCCGGGACCCGCATGGAGGGCTTTACTCACACCCAGCTGTGGGCCTCTCATCTCCACTGCCAGGTGGGGACTGCCAACTCTCTCGTGACATGTTGGTCACGACTTCTTTTAGCTGATGCTGGGGGCGTCGGAGCCATCGGAGCTGATGACGCCTGTGGCCAT